CATCATCATCATCATCATGATTGTCATCCCTCCCCCAAGCCCTTGTAGGACCGACCCATCCTATCCAGGCTGGAAGCACTATGCTCGTCTCAGGACATGGCCCCGAACTTCCATGAGGGCCTGTGGCTACATAGTGTCATTGGGTTTGAGAACTATGCGTTCAGTATATAGGTGTCCTATGCGCCGAATATGCCGGTAAAGAGCATGTGGTGCCAGGTTTTTGTGTCCAGTATATAAGGTTCGGGGCCTAACAAGGCCTGGTAGAGCGCACGAGTTACCAGGTAGCATTTGTTGGTCGGAGTTTCTGATTGTAGAGAGAAGGCTTCGATTTCCGAGGCTCTTTTGGATCTTAGGGAGGGAGTTCCCCTTGACCGGCTGTGTGCGGAGGTGAAACCCTGTCTCAAGACTTCAGGTAGAGTGACGGCGGTCCAAGGCCACAATGCCCGCGTCTGTAAATTTTGACGAGGAGTCGGTTGCTGCTACCTCTCAGGGATCGGCAGAAACCGAACACACGGGTGTGAGCTTTGCTAGCAGCCTGGAGCACACGGGCGACACACGCAGCGGCGGCTTGAAGAAGGCCCATTCCTACCTCTCGCAGTGTACAACTCACTTGAGCCACGAGGGCTCCAGCGCAGCTTCAGTTTCGGACCTCAACGTCATCAAGCCCGATGTTGAGAATGCTCTTGGGGTGGAGCCCTGTGAGGAAGTGAGCATCTGGACCTGGCGCAGCATCGGCATCGTCTTTAACGGCTTCCTTCTGGCCTTCTTGAGTGCAACATGCACGGGGGTTACCTATGGCTTCTTCCTAGGCTACATGGGCTTGGACTCCTATGTGATGTCTTCCATTACGGCACTTATGAAGCTCCCAGACGTGTTCCTTCTCCCCTATGGCGTGATCTCCGACTGCTTCCCCATCCGCGGACAAAAGAGGAAGCCATGGCTTCTGGTGTCTTGGGCGATCTCGGCTCTGGCGCTGCTTGCCCTGAGCCTGAAGCCCCAGCCCGCTCCCTTCTACTGCCAGTACGAGACCGGCGATTACAACTGGGACGTGCCTCCATGCAACCCTGGAATTCACAAGGAGAAGAATTGGTACATCTTCCCCATGTTCATCCTCACAGCAGGTCTCCAGATGGGAAGTGTCAATGGCCAGGCCCTCCTCTTGGAATCTACGTCCTGCAGCGAGTCACCTTTGTGCCCGTCTCTGGCATTCTGTACATCCCGTATGCTCCAGCGCAGCCCTAAAGCCCTTCAAGCCCCCTCAACACAGCCCTAAACCCTGCAGCCCAAGTAAGGAGTACTCCCAGCGTGAGCCCATGGAGCGCCGCGGGAAGATCAAGGCCCGAGATGGCCAAACCCAAAACATCGAAATCCCAAAACCATAAATCCTTACGCCCCCCAAAACCCTAAACTCCAAAACCCCCAAAGCCGCCCAAAGCCCCTAAACCCTAAATCCAACAACCAACAGAACCTGAACGCCCTACACCCGAGGCCGAGATGACGATGGTCTGCACGGCCGGTGCGTTGGCCTCCTCTGCAGTCATTGGCATCTTCATGAACCCAGGTAGCCCTAATAGGGTTTAGCGTTTAGGGTTTGGGGTTCATGTACCCAGGTAGCTTTGGTGCAATTTTCAGAGAAGTGTAAGGTCTAGTTTTACGGGCTCTTCTCGAAGTTGCTTCTATGCAGGCACTGTTTTCAGGGGTGTCCAAGAAGAGCCTAAACCCTAACCCTAAAACCCCTAAGACATCTAAAAGCCCTAAAACCCTAAACCCCAAAACTCCTAAGACCCTTGAAACCCCTATAACCCTCAACCCCCGAACCCCTCAGACTCCTACTGTAGGAGCCTAAACAATTACCGACATGATTCCTTTAGGGTTCCTTGTTGGTATGATGATACGGTAAAGGAGCTCAGCGCCCTATTCACTGATTGGTAAGACCCCTACATTAAACCGAAATCCCAGAGCCCAGGAATGGCAAGGCCTACCTGGGTACCTTCGACTGGGGCCTGTCCTTCAGCGGCCTGATGACGGTCTCTGGGCTCTTGTGGAGGAACTTAACTTAAGTAGGGTTTGGGGTTGAGGAGTTTAGGGTTGAGGGGTTTAGGGCTTTGGGGTTAAGGCGGTTAAGGTACAAGAACCAGGAAGCCCCATCATCTCCATAGTTTAAGTTACCTTGTTTTTGAAACCATAATAAGGACGCTTTCTTTTATTTACTACAGACCCCTCTTAAGCGGCTTACCTTGAGTTCCCAAGCAAGAACCCAGGTTTGCTTGGTGCTGGTCCTCTGCATCATCCCCGTGACAGTCCTGTGCATCCACGAGCCCCAGAAGTTTGGCCAGCGCACTTCGTGCCGCGCCCACGTCAAGGGCTCCTGGGATCTCGTTCAGACCAAGGCTCTCTCCTCGCTTCTCTTCTTCGCTTTCTTCGTCCAGCTTCTGGGCCCGTGTTAGGACAGGGTGGCTTAAGTTACCAGAGAGGATCTAAAAGGGATACGTCATGCATGCTATGCTTTGAGGGTTATGGTACCTTAAAGCTAAGCTCCTTAGGAACAGCTCAGGTTTCTGGTCTCCTTGACGACGACTGCCGGTCCCATGGTCAGGAGCCAGTGGGCGCACGTGAAAGTTCTGCAGCAGCAGATGTTCGGAATGGCTGGCATGGGCGTCATGATGGCGGCGACCTGGGTCTACAAGACGTCCTTTCTTCAGCTGAGCTGGAGGAGAGCTATCCTCATTGCCATCGTTTCAGTGAACGTGCTCGATGCGGTCCCGCAGTTTCTCGCGACCTTTGGTGTGGTGCGGAACCAGTACTTCTACCTTGGGGAAGATGTCGTCAGCTCCATTCCGAATGCCATGTTGCAGTTGGTCTCGAACCTGATGATCATCGAACTCGCCGAGCCGGGCCGGGAGGGTCTTTGCTACGGTCTCATTGGCACATTCCAACAATCGGCCTTGCCTTTTGCCACAGTGATCAGCAACCAGGTCTACGGGCTCTTCAACCCGAAGCTCTCAAGCCTTGAGAACTACATCTTGGACACTCCCCAGTTTCGATCCACCGTGGCGTGGTCCTATGTGCTGACCTACAGCACCTCCTTCCTTGCCTTGGCGTTGCTTCCGATGATCCCATGGCAAAAGGCTGAGGCCCAGAGGCGGAAGAAGGAGTGGAGCTCCAACTCCGTCATGGCTGCTTTAGTTCTTCTGATCCCGGCCATGTGCTTGGTTTACGGAATCTTCGTCTTGCTGCTGACGAGCCAGCCAGAGACAGCTTGCCTCCGATGGGTGGGTGGGCAGGGCTGCGAGATGCAGGGCTGAGTGCGGAACCAAATTACCTGAGTCCCACAACGGTTCCCATGTGCTTTCCACTTTCCTCCGGAGGCTCCCTTGATGTTCTGATACCTGGGAGCCTAGGGGAGGCTTGAATTCGAATTCCCTCGGTCCATTACCATGGCCTGACTGGGGCAATGCAAGAGATCTAGCTGGAAATCCTGGCGCTTGGAACTCTGTAAGAAACCAGTCGCTTCATCGTGGATACTGTGGATTCTCAGCTAGCAGTTTTTCTTCCGGCGGTTGCAGCATGACAGTCTCTGGATGCTTAGCCTAACCGGCCCAATGTCTGAGGTTGCGTTCACAAGGTAGCTTCCTCTGAGACACTTGCACCCTGAAGGCTGCAAAGCCCAGGGTGGTGCATGGTGCAAAGCCTGGGAGCTGTGAGACTGTGCAGGTTCATATTGTGAAGATGAGCACACAGTTACTTCACATTATGAAGGCCGTCATACCATTAAGACAAGGCCACTGGGAATAATGATTGCAAACAAGCTCTTGGGCGGAGCACACCAAATCCGACGTGGTTTGTAGACGTGCCGGCCTCTTCGCCCGCTAGTAAGTGAGGTTTCGGAAAGGACGGCTTTGTGATTTCTCGCCAAGCCAGCTTTCGAGGACTCTCGACTCCATCCTGTGCTGCCGGAACAGCGGGCAAGATTGTACATAACGACACGAGTAACGAGTATCTCTGTAAAGTTCCATTGAGGATTTTAGCCAGCCGCTCCTCGAAAGCCGAGCTTTTGCCATCCTGTGGACCCGTGGCCATGCATCGGCTGGCTTGCGGAAACATGCGATCGACCGTGCGCTGCCCTTGCCTTGTGTTGATGCGTTCTATTTCAAGGAATTCGCTATCCCTCCATCAGCATCGCATGTGCGACTGACATTGTCCTGATTTCTGTCAGGCCGTCATCTTCAGGGCTTTAGCTGTATTCTTCATCCTCAATATCACTCTACATCAGCATATCGCTAGTTGCTCTGCTTCAACATGTCTCCTACTACCACTGCTACTGCCACCACCACCACTACTACTACTACTACTACTACTACTACTGCTACTACTGGCTTCAGGGATCCTCGGCATGAAAGCTTTTAGGCCTTGCGGGTTCAGGGTTTTACCATCGAGTCAGTGCTCGGTGCTTAGGACCCAGGCAGCTGCAGACTGAGCCTTTACTAGCAGAAACCCGAAACCCTGAGCCCTTAAACTCGGAGCAATGTTTGCGGCCCAAAAGCCCCAATCCCGAGTCCGAGATGAGACAAGCCTCAAGCCTGATAAAACCGAACAGAAGAAGCAAGCAAAAGAGCCCAAATATAATGCATCGCATAGTAGAACATAGCACAATGCACTGCAATACTAATAACATAATATCGTATAATACATTCTTCTCTTATGTGGCAGAAAAGTGAGCTCTTACATAAACCCATGTGCCTCAGCAGGAGTTTTGAGTCCGACCAGCGAGCTCATGTCGAACTTGTGCCAGCCCCGAGGGGACCTGCGCCGTAGCGTTTCGGGCTTGTAGGGTTTTGGGTTCAGGGTTTTGGGGTTTTGGGCCACTGGTGCAGCGTACGGTTCTTGGCTTCAGGTTAAAGGGTTCGGCTCTACACTCTACCGGACTCGGACTACAAGGCATTTCCCGATATACTCCTGCCGGCTCTTGCCGTAAACTGGAAGCCCTTCTTGTACTAACACTGTTTCTGTGAAGAATCAAGCGTGATCTATTCAAAGTTTACACTCAGTATATAGACTCGTCAGAAAAATAACTAGACCTGCCGCTGCAGCTGCTGCTGCTGCAGTCGCCCTGACACTACTTACTAGTGCTTGTAGCTGCTATTACTACTGCTGCTGCTGCTGCTGCTGCTGCTGCTACTATCACTACTGCTGCTACGACAACGACTGCTACTACGACTACGACTACTGCTAGAGCCACGACTATGGCTACGACTCATGCCACCCACCACTTGGGTCTAGGCTTCAGGGTCTTGGGTTTGCAAAGCCCGGCATGTCGGGCCTATGGGTCAAGGTTCCACGTCAATCAGGGCTGGGTCAGTTGTCTAATCCCCCCAGGAGAATTCCCCTACATGCCCCAAACCTTTACCTGAAGCTTTTGTAAACCTGAAGCTTCTATCCCAAGCTCTACAAGCATGCAGACTCGACATGCCCGCAACCTGCTGGGACGTGTTGAGAGCTTGAGTTGCTTTAGGAAGCTTGGGATCATATTATGGGGTGTTTCGGACGCTTGCAAGACCAGTCGGTGGCTGTCGTCGGAGCAGGGATACAGACCCTTAGGTTCCCAAGTTCTACAGTCGTACATCGGTTGTGCTCCGCTGGGCTTGTCTGGGTCATACCACACAAGACCACACTAAACTGGAATGGTGCCATGCTCGAAGCCCTCCGCTGTACCATACCACAACTTCCATATTCGCTGCACTCCACTGTGTTAATTTCCGGTTTGGCTTCCACGAGAAGCCTAGACTAACACGACTCTCGAAAAGGGTTTCTGGGTTTTAACTTGGTTTGCTGTTTCGGGTTCAGGCTCAGGCACGTGTGTCTTAGGATTCACAGCTGCAAAGCACGAACACAGTCAGCTCCTCACACACTTATTACTATTATTATCACCATTGCCATTGCTGTTACTATTTACCAATAAAATTTTAGTAATATACCATGTACTATTGTCTAGTTATTATTTATTATTGTTATTATCATCGTTTTTATTGTTAATATTGCTAGTCTTATTGCTAGTGTGACTTTTGTTATAGTTACTATTAATGTTATCATGATTATTAGTATTCTTAGTAGTATGGTTCTTGTTATTATAATGGTAAGTGTTGCTTTTGTTGTTGCTCTTCTTCTTCTCATTACTACTACTACTACTACTACTACTACTACTACTACTACTACTATTCTGAGACAAGACTTGATTTACGGGAAGTCACAGAGCGATGCCGCAAGCAGGTATTCCCCGCGCTTTGCACGTCCGGCGACGCGCGGCTAGGATTGCAGAAGACCCGGTCGTCCGTGATGCGGCTGGTATTATATCATAGTAAACTACGGTACATTATGGTAGGTCATAGCTGCTTTAAGGCCTGGGGTATTTCCGACGCCATGAACAAAATTCCGCCCGAACCCTAGAATACCCTACACCCTTGGGCCTGAAGTGCCCCAGACCCCAAAGCGGAAACCCGGCAATACGCGAAACCCTAACACCTCCAATAGATCCGAAAACAGCTTCAACTTCTGAAGTCCTGAGCCTTCTTCGGGGCCAGGAGACCTTGGAATAGGGGCCACGGCTCTTCTAAAAGGAGAGCATAGGCCCCCGCCCCCCTCTCCGCTCGGCTGTCTTCGTCACCTGCAGCGAGTGGTGTGCTAGGATGTATTTGGGCTCCCAGCGCCGAAGACAGCTCCGAGGCAGTTACAGAGGCGCAGATGCCCAGCCTGCAAACCAGGCTTGTATTTCGGGAAAGTTTTTTGAACACATCTGCAGCCTAAACCCCGATCCAGACGCCTAGTGGCGAAGTCGGATAGTGGCTCATATGTAGAAACTCCACTGTTGCATCATTGCAATTTGCAGCCTCAAAGTCTCCGAGCTCGATGACTCTTCATGAGACCCCACCAAAACCCTAAAACCCACACCCCAAAGCCCGATGCCCCAAAACTCCAAACCGTAAGCCCTGTAAACCCAAGGGGTTTGGGTTGCATAGCCCGCGGGTCTGCCCTGCCGTCTGGCGAAGTCAGACAGAAGTTTCCAGGATCCGCAGGGGGTGCGAAGGAAAGCTCGTGGGCTTCCGATTTAGACGGTTTCATCGTCCTCTTCCTCCGTGTCTCGTCAGCGTCACTAGCACTACCATCCTCCTCCTCTTCATGATCATGGAACCCAGCACAGCCAGAAGCCCGAGAGATGAGATGTCAAACCCGATGCCATCTGCTCGAAGCTTTCAGTCTTCAGCCTCACACGCTGCATCTTGGAGCCCTGATAGGCTCCAAGTCCTACGACCGACAGCCAAATTCCCGGAGGCCTCGTCCCAAAAATCTCAAGCAACTGAAGTAAACCTGTTGAGCCCCCAAACCCTCAGCCGAACGACCGCCAGCAACGCCCTATACCCGTAATCCTCGCTTTCGAAGCCAGAAACCCTAAATCCCACACCCGAAAACTCCAAAATACCATGAGTCTCTAGCTTGTTGATCTTATTTCCGAACAGATCAGTCGATACCATTGGCGATAGTAATTTAATGGCAATAATCACAAACAATCGTAATTAACAACAATCATGCGTTCTTGATTCAAAGATCCGAATCCCCATGGAGCCGTTCGATGGCTTCGCGGTCGGAGCTTCGGAGCCTCAAAAGCCGCGCGCGGCGGCGATCAACTGGAAACTGCGGGCAGCGTCAGCGACGGTCCTCTGCAGCTTTGTCGCCTAAACCCTATAGGCCCTAGGCCCTAAACCCTAAACCATGGAGGGAAGGGTCGCAGAGGATGTTTGTTGGGGCTTGTTGTTTAGGGTCTTGGGTCGGTGAGGCTTAGGGCTTGTTAGGGTTTGGTAGGGTGTAGGATTCCGGGTTCAGAGGTTGGGGTGTTGGCTCTGGCGTGCAGACTCTCGGCTTGCGGCTTTGGGTGTTTCAGGTGCAAAGTTCAACAGGTTTGCGGAATGCGAAAGGTCTTCAGGCCTCGCAAACTCTTGAATGAGATTTGTGTCCTGTAGGTAAGCTGCACAATGTGAGGCTCAGGGCAGGCTTTCTCGGGTTCTTTTGTTCTGCGGCACAGTCCTGCTGGGTAGTGATTCATCATGATCCCACCACCTTGATCCTTATGCTTCTTCTCTCGTTCCCGTAACTCGGAGCTGCATCCTTTTGTAGCCCGAGTCACTCCTGCCCGCAGCCTCAAAACCTCCTCTGTCCGTAGCCGGAGCCTTCAAGTTGTCCATGGCTGAGTGTTGCAGCAAGGTCTGACAGCCCTCTTCCTCTGCTACTGGCACCTTCTGCTTGATTGGGCAAGAAATCCGTGAGGTTTGGGGTATTTGTAGGAGCTAGGGGATTGGTTTTGGAGTTTTGGGCTTCATCTGGATTGCGCTTGGGTGGGGGTCGTTCAGAACCTTTCAAAAATGCACCACTGGAGCAGCTGCCAAGTCTCCCACCAGGCCACCTGGTTTGCTGTAGGCAGATCCGCCCCACGTCCGCATCCCAATTGATGAGACCTAGGCATGCACCCCATAAATTATACTTGCAGCCAGTTTCATGACTTACCAGAGCTGACTTGAGCTGTAATTTTGGCAATAGTGAAGCAATCATCACCACCACACCATCACATCCTGCGACCACCCGCCTACGACGATGAATAATGTGGCGAGCACGACTCTTTGAGCTGGCAGGAGTAGTAGTAGTCGTCGTCGTCGTCGTCGTGGTAATAGTGGTAGTAGGTGCAGTTGCAGTAGTAGTAGTAGTAGTAGTAGTAGTAGTAGTAGTAGTAGTAGTAGAAGCAGCAGCAGCAGCAGCAGTCGCAGCAGCTTCTAGTATACTCGCACACTGAAGAGCACTGCGATCGGGTTGTTTTGTGGTCACCCACCAACGAAGGTCTTGCACTACAGTCCAGGCAGGCTCGTTTCACTTGAACCAAAGCAGTACAAGGAACGATTTAAGCATTCACTCATGCACAGACTTCGGGTCATTTCGGGTCCTACGCAGACCAAAAGCTGATTCCTTGAAGGCGCCCTCCCCCTGCTCGGGTGAGACTGCCCGTAGATGAAGCGGCAAAGACATGGTACCAACGCAAGATTAAGAATAGGAGCTCCGCAACATCTCTTTTCGGAAAGGAGGCTCGTCCACACTCATGCCACTTCCCGGAATCCGGAGGAGCCTGAGGGCAAGGCACACACAGCGACATGTAGGGTTCGAAAAGGTTTCTGAGATATGCACATATGTGTTCGTGCTTATGGCCCATTTGCATGTACATACCTATGTATAGAGACGGGCTCATATGCATATTCACGATGGTTGTTCTGTATGCTTCGGCGTACACGCGGAGTTTAGGGTATTCAAGCGTGTCGTCCTATCAGTCAGTTTCGGGATTCTTGCAGGATTCATTCTTTGATCGACTTCGTGTTTACGTTAAGTGCAGCAGGATTCACCCAGGGTGTTCTAGATATCATTGCAATGACAAGTTCTAGTAGGTAGTAGAGTTGGGTAATACAAGGAAGTAGTAAGTAGTAGTAAGCAGTAGCAAGCAGGAGTCAGGAGTCAGGAGTAGCAAGTAGTAATCAGTATGCCGCAAGGCGCCTGTCATACCAGCCTTTGTGCTGAATCTGGATCGGCGGCCGGACCGACTGCAGAACATCTCTCGGGCGTTGCACCAGCAGGCGGCCCGGGTCCAGGGTGGGAGGTTTGGGTTTTGTCTGGGGTGTCAAAACCCTGGAACCTTGGGTCCTTCTTCGACAGTCTACGAGGCACAGAGGGCCCTTTAAATTCCGTATGACTACCCTGTGTTCTCACAGGGCACTGCAGTTGAAGAACAAAGAGTCTGACAATCGCCAATGCCTGCTCTGTAAATCACAGGCCCCGAATGCTACGATAGTGAAGACTAAATGCTGGAGCCTTCCCCGACACCCTTGCTTTGTTGTGCCGTCTGTCTATTTTGGAAAGATGATGCAACAGAAGGGCAACGGCAATTGAAGGTTTCTTTGCTACGAACAGAAATAACTGTCCCTTCACCTAGGCCCTAAACCCGACTAATCCCGTTTCCGCGAGGCGCCGTGGCTCTTTCAGAGGACCTGCCGGGTGTCCGCTCCAAACGGCCTGGCTTTTGGAGAGCACCTGAAGGACCTCCGGAAATCTTAAACCCGAAGCTTAAAACAAACACCATGAACCCCAAAACCTAACACAGGTTTGAGGGTTCCTTGAACCAGGGTCAGCATTCCGACTCAAGCTGTTGAGGGGCTCAAGGTTTGGGATACAGAGTTTTGGGGCTGGCGCATTAAGGCTTTACGGTTTGCAAGAATTAGTCTGAAGCATTTGGCGGGCCTTTGTTTCGTTGCTTGAGGTTCCTGGATGTTATTCCCCCTTTAGGGTTGAGGGTTTACAGTTTGGGGCTATTATAACGGAACGCTATTCTGAATTCCCCAGGCTCCCGGAATCCTAAAGGCATGAAGCCGAAACCCCAGACACCTGAGTTACTAAGCCGAGAGATTTCCTCTCTGCCTTAAAGTGCACAGAGACTCCAATGTGTCTAGTTGAGGGTATCCCTCGTTGAAGTGGGTTTCGGAGCTTCCGAATTGGATTCAGAGCCTGAAAACCCTAATCCTTGAAAGCCGATGAACCTGAAAACCCTAAAGGAGTCGTTGGTTCCCGATTGGATCTGGCATCTCGCGCTGGAGCGCGACCGGAAGCACATGGCGACATTGGGAGGTCCCCTCACCAAGGCCACCGATTCGATGAGTTTGGGGGTTTATGGTTGAGGGTTGAGATGTTCAGGATTAAGGGTTTAAGGTCAAAGTCAAGGATGCGGGTTTCGGGTTCGGGATTGAGGGTTTGGCGGTTCCCATCCCAATTCACAGAGGGTTCCCGAGTCGCTTCCCTTAAATTCTGCAAGTTTCCAGAGCTCCAATATTCGATCCGTAGGGTGTCGGGAACGTAAACTTGTAGAGATGGACTTTGAAGTTACCGAAGTCTTCACTCGTCCACCCTCCTATTCCTTCTCAACGATCCTGGTGCAGATTTCTCGTGGAAGCTGGGTTCTATTTGTGACTCTAGGCAGTTTTGCTCAGGCTCGGCACTTGCAGAATTCAGGTCTTTTCTAACCTTCTTGGGAAGCGTAGTGTCAGACCATGGCCCCATGCCCGAATCGATCGGCTCCGAATCCGACATGCTACAGAACCCCGGACCCACACTTGATCCCAAAGCTTAGCCTTGAACCCGGAAGGCCTCGTCCCCATTCGGCACAAAGCCTCAAAGTTGCAAACTCAGATCCTTAACCCTAAACCTCAAGAGCTCCCATAAAGCCTGAACCCTGGGGCCGGAGTCACAATAGAGTGGATCCGGTTCTGCAGATGTTTCGGTCTAGTAAGGTATCCTGGGAGCTGACATCATCCGAACAGGGAGGGTTGTATTCTAACCAATGCTATCGGATGTAGTGTTGCTCGTCGAGGCTCTCATGGCATTTGCTCTACCCGAAGTTCTTGAGGAATGCAGCAGCCAACGTTTTCTGAAATTCTTGAGACTTCCCGTGTTGGGTTGAGAGTTTCTTGTTTAGGGTAGGCACTAAATCCAAACTGCAGACTCGAAACCCAACACCGAACCATACTTGGTGCCTCAAAAGGCCACACCCTAAACCTGAACCTGATCCGCTTATCCGCTTATTTTAATGCGACCCCCAAACCGGTAGTGGCCCTCCCGAAGTACCACCTGAACCCCAAACTCCGAAGCTGTTTCGTTACTCCTTATTGAAAGCCCGCTTTCAGGGGGCCGTGGCCCTCATTGTGGGCCACGCTCGGATGTGGGAGCACTTGGTGCAGTCCAAGGCGGCCTTTCTGCCTTAGATTCATTATGAGATGATGATGATGATGTAGCCACGACGACGACGACAACAACAACAACAACTACTCCTGCTGCTGCTGCTGCTGCTACTAGTACTACTACTACTACTAGTAGCCACCC